TTCTCTTTCTTCTCCCCCTTCTCTTCTCTCTCGCTCTAGGGTTCCTAACCCTCTCCCTTTCACCCTCATTCTTCTCCAAACTATTCCTAAAGCTCCGAAAACTCTCCCCGAAAATCGACTGCCTCATCTCCTTCTACAAAAACCGTCGCCGCCTCCTCACCTGGTACACCGACCTCTTATCCCAATCCCAAACCCAAACCATTGTCGTCCACCGCCTCGGCGCCCCGCGCACCATCGTCACCGCCAACCCCGCCAACGTCGAGTACATCCTCAAAACCAATTTCCCCAACTTCCCCAAAGGCAAACCCTTCACCGACCTCCTCGGCGACTTCCTCGGCCTCGGCATCTTCAACTCCGACGGCGACACGTGGCGCGCCCAGCGCAAGCTGGCGAGCCACGCGTTCTCCGCCCGCTCCCTCCGCACGTTCTCCGCCGAGATCCTCCGAGACGAGATCCAAACCCGTCTCATCCCGACTCTCGACTGCGCCGCGACCAGCGACGCAGTCGTCGACATGCAGGAGATTCTGAAACAGTTCGCTTTCGACGCCGTTTTCCGCGTCTCCCTCGGAGCCGACCCGCCGCCGACGGCGCTCGCGGCGGCTTTTGACGCCGCGTCGGAGATCTCGGCCGCCCGCGGCGCGGCTCCGGTTTACGCGGTGTGGAAGGCGAAGAGGATGTTGGGGCTCGGGAGGGAACGGGAGTTGAAGGAGGCGGTATCGACCGTGCGAGGGTGCGTGGAGGATATCGTGCGGTCGAGAAGGGAGAATAATAATAATAATAATAATAACGAGACGAGAGATGATTCCCTTTTATCGAGATTTGTCGAGTCGGGGCTCGGGGATGACCGGATGGTAAGGGATATGATGATAAGTTTCGTGATGGCGGGGAGGGACACGACTTCGTCGGCGGTGACATGGCTTCTCTGGCTGCTGACGAGACACCGGGAGATTGAGCTGAGGGTCGTGGATGAGGTGAGTGATTATGATTACGAGAAGTTTGGGGAGATGAAATACGTGAAGGCGTGCCTTTGCGAGTCGATGAGGCTTTACCCGCCGGTGGCGTGGGACTCGAAGCACGCGGCGGAGAAGGATGTGTTGCCGGACGGGACGAGGGTGGGGAAAGGGGATCGGGTGACGTACTTTCCGTACGGGATGGGGAGGATGAAGAGAATATGGGGGGAGGATTGGATGGAGTTCAGGCCGGAGAGGTGGATGGAAGGGAGAAATGTGAGTCCGTACGAGTACCCGGTTTTTCAGGCGGGGCCCAGGGTTTGTCTCGGAAAGGAGATGGCGTTTGTGCAGATGAAGTGTGTTGTGGCGGCGATTTTGGGGAGGTTTGAGTTGGAGCCGGTTCGTGAGGAGGTGCCGGTTTTCGTGCCATTGCTCACGGCGTGTATGGCGGGAGGGTTTCCGGTAAGGGTTCGACGGAGGGAGCTGTGATTAATTAGCGACCTGTTTTTATGGGGAAAGACTACAGTCTCGTTTATGGAACAATTTCTTTGGAATTTTTAACCGTAAATTATCTATCTACAGTAATCTATCTGGTGTATTTACGATTAAAGACCCCGAGAGAATGGTAACGTAATGGAACTGTAGTCATTCCCGTTTTTATATGTATGGAATTTGAATTTCGATGTGTACTAGTTATGCTTGTGGAACTATTAAGACCCTCAAAGCGTGAGAAGGATAGAATGTTGTAATGTATGTGAAACTAGTGTGTCCGTTTTATGAATATAAACGAGCCCTACTTTGCTCGTTCTATTGCCTAATAGCACAGGAGTTTGATATAAGACGTCTATGGAGTATATACTTTAGCATAGACTTGAGACTTGGATCAATATATTTTTGTTCCGAAAAATGTCTTGGACCTATATTAATTAAAAATTCAAATAAACTATTCATATTTGACTGTGTTTCAAAGCTCATAATCCGATGTGCCATCACTATTAAAAAAATGCCTTATAAAAATAGATAAGATAAAAAAGATTATGTAAGAAGAGAAGACAGATCAGAAAGTTTGTAGATGGCCGTTCTTTTTATTATTAAAAATGTAAAGGTTTGAAATGATTAACTAAAAGAAATGATATGTATATGGACGCAAGCAAGCAAACATTGCTCATAGCATATATAAATTCAGTGTGTGACAACTTTGGAAAACACAAAATGAATTGAACACGCAACCCAATAAGCAACTGCGAGTTAAATAAAAAAGAATCAATAAAATGTAGAACATGTAATACTTTTAATTTTATTTTTTAAATCACGACATTTCATTAGAAAACTATAATATTTGCTTAAAACTATGTCTAGCCAACAACTAAAATATATCTCATATTAAAATATGTGTCACAATAAAATAAGTCTACTAAGGAAAAATTACACCAAGACAAATACTACTTTAACATAATTGTTTAATATAATAGTTGATAGACAAATACTACTTTAACATAATTGTTTAATATAATAGTTGATAAAGTTGTGTGTAAGTATCAAGTACTGAAAATCGGGTCAGCCATTGAACTGGTCAAGCTAATAGTTCAATGGTTCACTGGTCCGGTCAGTGGTTAAACAAGTTAAGAGCGATATTTAATTTATTAATATTTTTAAATATATATACATATATATAATATTTTATATAATAAAAATTATACACAAAAATCTTGTTAATTAAATATATAGTCAATTTAAAATATTCAAATAATTAAACTACTTAATAATAACTTATATATATTCATTATATTTGAATGTATACTTTATTTATATTAAAAATATTTTTAAATATATTAAATGTATCAAAGTTTATTTTAAAAAAAATTGGACCGGTTCAAACTGGTCTGGCCGGCCGGTTTTGGGTCGATTTTGATTAGTTCAACCGGTCCTTAATCGATCTTTGATCAGTTGCAACCGTTTCATTCCAGCAAATCATANACTCTCACTTCCAACTTGGTTGATAACAACGTTTTATCTTTACCATTTTGTTTATTATTATTTTTCTTGCAGAGTTTGCTGCGGACATTGACTATTAAGAGGCGTGCGTACCGACTGGGGATATGTTGTGTGGTCACAACTCAGAATTAGAAGTCAAAGCTAAGTGGTCACCATTAGAAGTCAAGTGGTGCCTAGAAGAAGTTGGACTTTCGAATTATACAATCGGCGTAGTCGACATTACACTATTCGCTTAAAAAGAGGCGGAAAATTAAAATAAAAGACCATAGTTCTTTTTGGAGGGATTTGTAAAAATTCACCAAGTGTGGGTAATGGTCTGAACCGTTGAGGAGAATCAGATGTAGACTTAGGATTTTCTTCAGATGACGTGTGGTTTATTAGTAATATCTTTCACCTTGTTAAAGACTGCTAATTTTCATATCAACTACTGTTGAGATCCAATTGAGAGGAATTTTCGACGGTTGGATCCGTATGTCAAATACGGGTGCTCTGCGTATATGTCTTCCTTCCAATCTCGAAGCACCAAGTACTGATTTTCAAAGGTCCAATTATTCCCTTCAGCTACTTTGAGTTTGTGGAAAACTTAGGGCTCAATTGCTTGACGACATTAGCCCTAATTTGCTAAATCAATCCTATAGTTTTTGCCAAATCAATCCTATAGTTCTTTATTCCCCTGTAGGTGAACTTGGTGAACTTGCTCTGCCTGATAAACTTTTCAATCAGACTTCGATTATTGTACATCAGTAATGTTAAGGAGCCAACTGTTGGCAACCAATGGGACAGCTCCATGTGGGGCTGTCCCACATTGGAGTCATGTGGGACAGCCCCACATGGAGCTGTCCCATTGGTTGTTGGCTCTGTAACGGAGCCAACAGTTGGCTCCTTAGCATTATTGTACATTCATATGCACTAAACACTAACTGAATAACTCCAAGATCAATTGGGATAATTGTCACCTCCTTTTCAGATAGTTTGAAGGCGCTGAGTTCAATTGAAAGCTCTTCCTCCATGGAAGATGACGAGGGGACCGGTAGAAATGGTAGAAACTTAGGAGCACACTTGCACAACACAAGAAAAGAC